ACCCAACCCCCCCCCAAAAAAAAAAAAAAAAAAAAAAAAAAAAAAAAAAAAAAAAAAAAAAAAAAAAAAAAAAAAAAAAAAAAAAAAAAAGGAGGGAGGCCTTGATCATCTTTGCAACTATTGTGCTCATTGCGACAATCGGCTTTGTTGTCGCGGCCAGGTACGGCCAAGCTCGCATCACTCGTGAGCAACCAGGAGGGCAACTTTCTGGAGAGCAACAGCGATGCCATCAGCGACATGACCATGACCAAAGGTGCAGACAGCGCACCGTTCCTGCCCCACAGAGCGGGCCTAACTCGATCATGCCGCACACGCTAAATGTTGAATGTATTAGCGCGTCATGAGACTCATGCTGTTGTGTGGTTGTTCGCTTGAATGTACTTTTGTTTGTTTCCTTGCACCAAAAGGTGTGGGAACACTTCTTTGGACGTCGCCGGAAACATTATCGGGTGGTCATTACTCGCTTCCTGCAGACGTCTACTCGTACGTTATCAGCACGCATTGCTCTAAAGCGAGATAGGATCGATCGAGATGAGATCGATCGGGGCTCATGTCGACCTCACCCTGGCTGACTTTGCATGGTTTGCGGCAGGTTTGCGATTGTCATGTGGGAAATTGCCACGCGTAAATTGCCTTGGAGCGAGTTGACGCGCTCCTGGGATGTTGCAGCGGCCGTGGAAGAGGGGCGGCGCCCCACGGTCCCTGCTGTACCTGTCAAAGCGTTTACGGATCTCATGCAGGCGTGCTGGGATCAAGAGCCCTCAGCGCGACCCACGTTTGCGCAGGCCGAGGCGATGCTGAAGCAAATTTCTGCTGAGTCAGATGTCAACAGCCAAGAATCTTTTGAAGCCGAAGCATGAAAGATGTGTCAATCGAAGGTTTTGAATGTGGACCGCAAAGAAAAGACTACCTTTGTAATGTGTTGAGATGAGCACGAGGCATGATTGTGATAGAAGAACTTCCGTCAATTAAAAAACTAAGAGGGGCATTTACAACAACATGATGCTTCGGGCAGGGCGATTAACTAGACCTAATCAGAGTCATCGGTGCATTGTGCTAACAGGGCTGTGGCTTGTTGCTGAATGTGGGCGCAAATGCGCTGAACACCGGTGACGTAAAGGTGGCCTGGGGCACCGGTGGCGGGAGCTGAGGTGCATTGTGCCAAAGCCGCTAGCCGTTGGAGAAGCGGCGCCACGCCGGCTTTGACAAACTCGTGGGGCAGGCCTTGCAGAAGCGGTTGTATCTGGCAACTATCAAGGGGGCCGTCCAAATCCAATCCTTCGCTGATGAGGATGGCAAGAATGAGCCAGGCCCAGTTGTCAGACCGCAGAACTGCGCGAAGGCGCAGTTTGTCAGCGGCCAGAGGTTCGGTGACCCAATCACGGGGCAAGTGTTGGGCGAGCCAGGCGGCAGACGCGGGCGGGATGTCCGGTAGGACGAGGGCTAAAGTGACGGCATCGCAGCTGGGTTCTGCAAGTTCAAAGCCGTAGGAGCATAGCAGTTCCTCATTCGTTCGGTCTCCGTAGGTGTTGTAGAGGCGGCCGCCTCGGGGTACGGGTTGGGTGGTCCGAAAGCCGAGGGCCTGATCTTCAAGGACAAAGCGCAAATTTACCAGGGTGTGGGAATGGTTGAGCGCGTCAAAGATGGGGAGAAGGTAGGCGGCGTGAGAGGCAAAAGAGGCTGGCAAGGGCGGGAGCGAATCGCGCGCAAAGGCACGGGAAAGCACGAGTTGATGGGCGTGGCGAAGGGTGGTGACGGGAATCTGGTGACGCTGGGCATAGTCACTGGCATGAAGGGCAGCAAGCTGGCGAGCCAACTCGGCCTGCTGAGTGGGCAAGCTGGCGGCAAGATTTGTGCCACGCAATGCATGTACCCGCGCCTCATCCCAGTAGAGGGCGGCATCAGGAACCGCGGCAGCGGCAAGATACTGGCGCCAAAAGTCACTTTCGGGCGTCTTCTTGGAGGGTGGCTCGGGCTCGGGCTCTGGGCGAATATGTGATAGGGAGGAAAGGTGCGAGTGGCCATCGTGCTGACAATGCAATCTTTGGGCAAGGGTCAGCACGAGGCCAGCGTGTTTGCCGGCGTTTGGCAGATCAGTCCCGGGATCGGGCGTGAGCACCAAATGTAGGGGTAGTGCGAACATGAGCGTGTCTTTGGGCACATCAGCGTCAACATGGCAGTGAAACGGGGCTGCAACCAGATCGAGATGAAATGAAGCACAGGCTGTGAGAGGCTGTGTGTCGACGCTCAAGCATAGCGCGTGGGTGGGATCTGAGAGGCCTGACAAGGCAACGAGATGGGCGGCGGGTCGCTTACGATCAGCGTCGAAACGCACGGCCGGGTGCACGGTGCAGCCGACGCGTTGAGCAGCTGCGAGAAAGGTCATGGTCGGGTTGGCATGTACCTCGTTGTTGCTCGTTGATGTGGGTTCCGTCAGAGGAGGGGGCGATGGAATGAGCGGGGTCAGAGGCACGACTAGCTCAGCCATGGCGGTGGTCATGCGCTCTATCGCATCAGATGTTGGCGGTGACACGGCGGGCAGACGTTATCTGCGGAATAGACCACGTCCACGTCGCATTGACCAAACTCAAGTGACTGCATGTGCTGGTCCAGTCGGCCAATCCGCGACGAACCCTCGCGACCTCTTTGACAAAGATGATCGAGCAGCTCACGACACAGCTCTTGTGTGTGTGTGTGTGTGTGTGTGTCTGGCAATTCGTGTGCGTGTTTCCGCAATCGTTGTGGGTTTCCATAGCCAGTCGCTGGCCCGGTCATTTGTGATATTTTCTCTGCATAAACCTCCATTGAATGAAAGTTGAGTTCGACAATAACAAGAAGTATAGCTGCACTTACATCGACTTCGGATGACAATGTGTGATGCTTTTGAAGTGTATAACATGTATCACACTTGATGAAAGACGGAGTGACAGAACGAATTGCATCACCCGAGCACAACACAATCAAATGTCAGATGAAACTGTCAGACGTTCGGACGCGATTGCACAAGCCATCACACTTGTCGATTTTTTTTTTTTTTTTTTCATTTTTTTGTGCGCGTGCAGGAGTAGGGCGCGCGCCATGGTCGGCGGGAAGGGGGCTTCAATGTTTGCTACGTGGGGGCGTGGCAGTGTCGGCATGGGATGCTGGTGGCGTGTGGTGGGCTTGAAGTATGACACGCTTGAGGCTGACGGGCGATGCGGGGTTATGCTTGTAGACGTTCTCCGAGGAAATTTTCTTTGAAGCTCTTCAGCGTGGTGGACGTCAAAATGGGTGCGCGTTTTACTGTTGGGCAGCGCTGTTTCTCCATCGCCGCTTGATCTTGCCAGAGCCAGTCTTGCCTGCTATTTTCCCTTGTCTTATTTCCATGCTCCTCTTTCCCGGTGGTCTCCTCTCCTGTGAAACCTGGCCCTGCAGCTGAAATTTGTGAGTTTGATCTGTCCTTGTGCTGGAGCTCACGTGCCGAGCTCCGCGCCAGGGAGACGCGTCCCGACGAGAGGCGAGGCGGTCTCATGGCGAGCAGTATCTCGTTTCTCGCTAGTCGCCCCTGCAGTTCCCTTTTGACTCATCCTTTTTTTGGGGTGTTTAATTTTCAATCGTTCTTTCTGCAGCTCAAGAAGTGCTGCAAGGCCTGGACACGGTTGCTCAGGCCAAGCTGCGTGCCGCCTATGCAGCGGTCGACAACCACGTCAAGGTGCGCCCTGGCGCTTCGAGTTTGAGTTTCAAGTGGTCACCAAGACAAGTTTGGGTCGCGTCAACTACACAGAGACTTTCTTTCGAATTTGCTGACGCGTTTTATCCGACTGGCAGGATGGTCAAGTCGTGGGTATCGGCAGTGGCTCCACCGTGGTGTTTGCCGTGCAGCGACTGGCCCAGCGCGTTCGCGACGAAAACTTGCGGGTGATTTGCATTCCCACCTCCTTTCAGGTACAATGACCAAATCGCCATCAGATCTGCCTCGGGGCTGTGTTCCTATCGACAGTGACACCAACTCCAACTTGCGTAGGCGCGACAGCTCATTCTCGAGAACAAACTGGTTCTTGGCGACCTGAATGCCAATCCCGTCGTATGTTCCAATCGTGGTCTTTCCGGTTTTACCAGCTTGAAACGATGCGCTCCTTGACTGCGCACCTGCTCATGGCCCCTTGGCCATCTCTCCGTGACAGCTGGATGTGGCCATTGACGGCGCAGATGAAGTGTCGGCCCAGTTGGACTGCATTAAAGTATGTGGCGCCGCTCATTGCAGCTCGCCTCTGCGTGGCCGACTTCAGTAGCGTGATAGCCAGCCTCTTGCCTCATTCCAATTTTCAATTTCCTGGATGCCATGGATTGCAGGGTGGAGGCGGCTGCCTTTTGCAGGAAAAGATTGTGGCGTCCAATGCCGATCAACTGATTATTATCGCCGATTACAGCAAGATTGCAGACTACTTAGGTGGGTAAACCAGCACAACTTTGGGTCCATGCTACCATTCGAGCTGCTTTGCTGGTTTGTGGCATACTCAGCCAAGCGCCCGATTCGCGACGCCAGGATCTGTCTGGAAGAAGGGCGTGCCCTTGGAGGTCATTGCCGATTGCTACGTTCCAATCATGCGCAAGGTGTTCCAAACACGCCAGCCTGCTTTTTCTTGTTCTTGTTCTTGTGCACGAGCATGATTTGCTCATGTGTCAAAAATAGCCTGTTGCTCATGCTGCTTGTTCGAATATCTAGCTCGAGAAGATGGGCGGCAAGCCGGTGCTTCGCATGGCCAAAGCCAAAGCCGGTCCCTGCGTCACTGGTACGTTGCCATGTCGCTGAGCCCTTGCTGTCCCCCCCGCTCGGGCCTCATGACAAGGCGTTGTGGCTTTGTGGCTGTGTGACAGACAACGGCAATTTCATCGTTGACTGCGACTTTGGCGTCATGCAAGAGCCCGCCAAGCTCGAGCAGGTGCGCGCGCAAAACTTAATGACCTCCTCCAATCTTGCATCAATGCTGGTGTCCGACCTGACTGAAGAATCGTGCTCAACCTGGTGCCGCAATCCTAGCAACTCTTGAGCATTCCCGGCTTGGTTGAGACCGGTTTCTTTTTGCAAATGGCCGTCAAGGCTTACTTTGGCATGCAGGACGGCAGTGTCAAGACGCTCGATGCACCTGCACGTAAGTGGACGTATCCACCTCGCCAAAGCCTGTGTGCGGTCCCGCTCAAAGAATGCCTCACAATCCATTCTTGTGCTCGACGGGCCGCCGCGTATTTGACACTAGGGCAATAAGAGCACCTTGGCACGGGGTTGTTCTCGTGATCATTATGACTAGCTGGCTTGGCATGGGGTTGCGAGGACCTTGGCAAATCGAGAGCCATTTCGTGAAGGAGACCCATCCATGGAAGCATGCTGTGTTCACTTGATCATGTAAAAGGAAGAAGAGGCTCATTTTCTGTACTTTCTCAACACAAACACATTGATGACATGGATGTCACTTGCCCAAAATCACAACCGCACCTCACTCATTGGGCCGAAGAAAAAAAAAAAAAAAAATTTATGGCAACGCCAAAGCTCGCGTTTCGGACAAAAGTCGGGATGAAGGCATGGTTTTGACACCTCGCGTTCACGCCTCTGCGTCATCATTAAGACCCCGAGCAAACCGTTGTCCACAAAAGGCGCTCCACACGTGGACGCTCTGCGGTCAAGGCGGCAGTATGATAACACCATCAGTGGGGACATTTATAATTCTTTTCCACGCGCAATTTTTGCTGAAAGCATTTATAACGTACATAGATAAAGTCGTTGGCAGATTCATAGGATAGCACGGGGTTGAGTGCCTTGCGGCGCTGGCGTGGGCGAAGCGCGTATCTAAAAGTGTTTAACGATCAAGGCGTAAGAGACACAGCCCTATTGAGCGTGCTGCCACGGACAAAAAGGTCAAGACCAGGACAAAACTGACCGGCCAGTTTCCGTCGCAGCCAGCGGCAGTTCGTCGTCGTCGTCTGGTGTGCAGGTGAGCAGGTGAGCAACCACGCAACACAAGAATGAGAGCGAGGGGCACACTGAAAGAAAGTGTCGTATCTGCTTACCCGAGACCTCTTCACTGCCCCAATCACTTTCGTCACTGCCATCCTCATCGGCATCGCCTTCGTCGTCACTGTCGTCATCATCAAATTCTCCTTCGTCATCACTGTAAAACTGAAACGTGGGGTCGGCCGCCTCGCCTTCATCGTCTTCAATTGAGGCCGTGGGTGGGGACACGGCCGCAGGCCCAAAAGTTGAGGGTGCGACCACATTGGCGAGGGCCGCTTGTACGCTTTGCAGGATAGCATCATTCTGGGACTTGACAAGGCCCAGCAGGCGCTGGCTTTCGTGTGCTGGATCACGATAGTAGATGGCCGTGAAAAACAGGATGCCCAAGTCGATCATCATGACCAGCTGGCGAGAGAAGAAATAAAACAAACGATGGCAGCATGCAGTTATAACGTAAGAAAAGCAGCACAATCCTATCCCATCACCGACTCGAGGAACCTGCAACGATCAAACCTTGCGCATAGTCCAGCAGGCGTTGAGGTAATCTTGCTGTAATTGAGGATGCACCTGCTGATCAAAGTCGATCGTTCCGTCCGCGTTCATGTACACGTACTGGTTGAGGTAGCGCTCGGCGATAATCTCGGCGCCAAGAACAACAAACATCCAAAATCTGCGCCCATAGCCAGTATGTGTGTGTGTGTGTGTGTGTGTGAAGCAGTCGGTATGAATTTTGGTCCTCAAGGCAGGCATGTACAGGGGCCCAGACCGCATCGGAGCAATAGGTACCAACCGAGCCGAGTGCACACGGGTTGGGGTGGTAATGATGTAGGTAATTAGCGATGCAAGAAGGAAAAAGCCCATGGCCATCAACCACTGCAGGTTGCTGCCAGTCCACTGCAGCATGCGAAGAATAAAGCCCAGAGCCTCGCGCTGCTCCCGCATGTTCCTTGTCAGCACCTCCAAATCTGCATTGGCCTACCGCAAGCGATCCAGACCGGGGAATAAGCGAGGGCTGCGCCGTGACAGGGCCCACCATCTTGAGCCGCGTTGCAAGAGGGCATTTTTTCCAGGCTTTACCTCAGTGACGGCCGATGCCACTGAATGGCTCACGTCCATCAACTTTTGCTGGTTGGAGAGTGCCACTTGCTGATCCTCCAGGAGCTTCTCGTTGTGTTGGAGCGACTGCGACAGCTTGCCATCAAGCTGTTGCGTAGACTCGTCCAACTGCTGCCGGAGATACTCTTGATTGTTGAGGATGTGTTGCTGTGATGTCTGAATGCTCGTCGTCAGCTCTGATGTCAGCACTTGCATCCGATCGTGTTCTATGACCGCCACCCAGAGATGAGTTTTGGGACGCGGGGGCGAAAAACACGGTCTCCATCGGAAGGCGAGGCACATTGGCTTGCTGTGGTCGCACCTTTTTGGATGACTTCGAGTTGCATGGCACTGGAATTGGCTGCATCAATGAGATTGGTGACAGATTGCTCGACCATGAGGCGTTGGTAGACATTGGCTTCTTGTTGACACAGGTCGTCAACGCGTTCCTACGTGGGGAGCCCACTTTTGGTAAGTGCGGATACACGATTTGAAGCGGCAAGAATGCTTGCATTTTTTTATTCAAGACGACGAACCACAAAGCCCGTAACGAGATCGGTATATGCTGTGGGTAGGTGGAGCGACAAGGCAAGAAATAATGAGAGGGATGTGGGAGGAAAGCCCTTTGGCTTGTCCGTGCGCGGGGCAGGTTGAACCAACCGTAATGGGGCAGCTGCTTGATGCAGGCAGACATGGGCATATCGTTGGTGCAGGGATACTCTTCGCGGTGATTGTGACGGGCATAGCAATTCATCAAATGAAAGGCCACCTGTCAACATGAGACGTGGTGAGAGGCGTTTGTATGCTCAAGGCGACGCAGCAGGGCCATCGTCGAACAGGTTGGACTCACTCGGGTCTTGAGCTCTTCGTCCAAGTCATGGCAAGCCGCACCGCTGTCGTGCAAGCGCAGCAGCACTGTGTGGATGCACGACTGCAGGGGTGAGCTGGTGACGACACCCTGTGATTGGTCGTTAGGCCATCAGTGTGAGCATGGGTCAAGTGCCGGATTCTATGCATGTCACTGAAGAGCAAGGGGTAGACAGCAAGGTGCGAGGCGTGGCGTACAAGAGCAGTCATGGCCTTTTGAACCCAGGCCTCGGGGTCTTCCGTGGGGATGAGGCCATGGTTGGCCACGGCAAAAGTCAGGCTCAGCGCCAGCAGCACGCTGATCCGCATCCACCCCGCCATCTCGACGGAATTCTGTTGAAATGAGGGTGTTAAGGTCAAAGTGTGAGCACCCGCAGCCGCCGTCAGTCGATGGGCCCTGCACGCACAGCAATGCAGAGCTCTCCCTCCCAGCAAAAGGTGCGATGGTTCTCACAAGAAGTCGTCGTAAAAACCGAAAAGCGAATCCAAAAAAAAAGAATAGAACGGGCAAGAGATTTTGAAATTGGGCGGGAAGTAAAGTTTATAGATGTGACATACATTACACTTTATGATGTCTTTTGTTGTTGAAGGGAGATGAAAGAATGGCTGGATCAATTATGTTCATGCCGATTCGGATGATGAAGGAGTGGCCTGAAAGGTGGGGGCCGCGGGGGGAAAGAGGGGTCGTGGCATCGGCGGAATAATGGATGGGGAGGTAGAGTCAGCAGACCGCTTGGGAATAACGGAACAACTTTACTCTTGACGCGTGTTCTTGCGGCGCTGGACCAGATACTCGGGGGTCGTGGATTGGGACAGACGAGTCATGAGGATGTCGTCCAGCATGTCGAGGTCCTTCAGCGTGATCATGCTCTCACTGATGAGAGAGCGGATGGAGTGAGGCAGGAGGCATGCTCAATGAGATGGAAGGCACAATGAAGCAAGGATGGCACCGAGCAGGTGAGCACAGACGATGGACAAGGGGGCCTACCGCTGCTCGATTTGTCGCTCCACCACCGATTGACGCCTGGCAACTTGCTGTGATATGGGTATCCACGAGGCCGTGACAAACGAAGGGGTGCGGGAGGAGAAGAAAGCAGCCGTGGCGATGGTGAGGAGAGACTGCGCCACAGGGTTGCATTGGTACCCAGCTAGTGCCTCAGCCTTCACGAGAGAGGGGTCTGCAGACGCACCATTTCATACACGGCACGGGCGCGGTGCTGGCCGAGAGCGCGATGCTCGGCCTTGACCTCCTTGCGAACGTCTGCCAGCTTGCGCCTGCGAGGCACCGAGAACAAAAGACGGGAAGTGAGGCTTAACACCCGTACCAAGGAGAAAGCGGCGACCAGCTCGTCCCGAACGTACATCAATTCCTGTTTGCGGGCCTTGATGGCTGAGGTGGCCTCGGAGGACCGACGGCTGCCTGCAGCTTGCTGGGCCTGCTGATGCTTCAGTTGCTGGGCCAATTTCTGCTGCTTCTTCTCCTCGCGGGTCGGCATACCGTGGCGCTTGATGTAGTCGACCCGGACCTCATGCATGCCCTCGAGCCACTCACGACGGCGCTTGGAAAACGTGTCCTCGGGGCGGTGATAGCTCTTGTTCCATGCAGCCTTACCACGTCGAGCCTCCAGCACCACCGCACTCGCACCACCCAATGGCCGCAATGCTACCGACGCGGCCATGGCCTGCCCACCGCGCGCTGCCACTGTTCGCAACATGATTCCCAATGTGTCTGAGGAGCAAGAAATACGAGCGTGTGTGTGTGTGTGTGTGTGTGGCACCTCTCATGGGAGGTTGTGATAGTGTAATATGTGACACGCTTTAAACTGCATTTGGATCAGCAACTTTCAACTTTAAAGGGGTTGTCATCTTTTCTGAAAGTTGAATGGTACGGTGTTGTGTGTGTTCTCTGTGTGTGTTGAGGCACACACGTGTTTGAAGGGTCCACGAGCTTGTAGCGTTCCTTCTGTCGGCATTTGCGCCACGAGTTGCGACGCTTGCCCGTCGCTCTCTCTCTCTCTCGCTTTCGCTTTCGCTTTCGTTCCGGTCGCTCGCTCGCGCGTGCTTGCTGGCTTTTTTTGGGGGGATTTCTTGTTGAGCAGGGGGCATTAAGCTCCCGCTGCTGCTGCCGCTGTTGCTGCTGCTGTTGTTTTGGAGGTATATCTCCTTGAACAACAGTCTCGACACCTTTTTTTCAGAGTGCCAAAGACGCCGCGCGTTGGTGACACTCGTCGAGGACCGTCGCTACTCTGACCAACATTAGCACCGGAAACATGAAGCCCGGCAGTAAGTGGGCGCTTTATTCGCGCGCGTGCTTAGACCGAGACTCTACACCGCCGCGTTTTTTTGGGGGGGTTGTCTGGTTCGTGTGCTCAAAGAGAGAGACCTCATGGCACCGCGTCGCACAGAGAGCAAGAGCAAGCGCGTGAGCTTGAAGGACAAGTACAAGATTCAAAAGAAGGTGAAGGAGCATAACCGCAAGCAAAAGCGCGATGCCCGCCGTGCCGGCAACAAGCCCAAGTCGCTGAAGAAGGATCCAGGCGTGCCAAAGATGCATCCGATGCGTGGTGAAATTCTTGATCAAATCCAAGCGGCCAAGGCCAATGCCGAGCAGGAAAAGATTGACCGCCGTGAGCGCAATCGCCTCAAGCAACAGTATGCCCCCAAGAAGCTTAGTGCCCTCGAAGAGCTGCAGGTGGGTCCATTGGCACCCCTCTCCCAACCCAACCCAAAAGCTGCTCGCCGGAGCCTTTGTGCTCGTCATTTTGGGTCTGATGCATGCGCTTGTGTTTGCTATGCTGGCTTCATGCAACAGCGATCTGCCGAGCAGCGTGGCCGCAGCTACGAGCGTCGGGAGCGTGTAGAGGGTCAGGCCACGCCGGGAGCGAACGACCATCTCCTGAGTGACACCTCGCGTCGTGCCTACTACAAGGAGTTTGCTCGCGTCGTCGAGGCTGCCGATGTCATTTTTGAGGTGCTCGACGCCCGCGATCCCATGGGCAGCCGCTCGCAGTTGGTGGAAGATGAGGTGCGCAAGCATCCCACCAAGCGCCTCGTGCTCGTCCTCAACAAAATCGATCTCGTGCCACGCGACGTGGTGGAGAACTGGCTCAAGCTTCTTCGTCAAGAGTACCCCACCGTGGCCTTCAAGGCCAGTCGCCAGCAGCAACGCGACAACATGCAACAGGAGCGCTCAGCTGTTCTTCAGGCACATGGAGGTGCTGGAGCCCAGGGTGCCAGCATCCTCATGAAGCTGCTTGGCAACTACTGCCGTAACAAAAACATCAAAACAGCCATTCGCGTCGGCATTGTTGGTGCGTGGCGCGCCCCGTCAACTCTCGTGGCCCTTCTCGCATCAGGACCCGCCCGTGTCCTTTTGACATCTCTTGGCATGTGTATCTTGAATGAAAGAAGCCCCACTGCGGCTCACTTGATCTCCGAAATCTGTCTGAATCGTCGCAGGCTATCCCAATGTGGGCAAGAGCTCCCTCATCAACTCCCTGAAGCGCAGCCGGGTTTGCGGTGTCGGCGCCCGCCCGGGCTTTACCAAGACCTTGCAAGAGGTCGCTCTTGACAAGCGCGTCAAGCTCATCGACTCGCCGGGTATGTTCCTGCTGACTTGCCTCTGTGGACCCGTGCTTCCCAGCACAACAGATACTGTGCATCTTCTTCCCGGTTTCTCATGCGACGCGTGGCGCCACAGGCATCGTCTTCTCGTCCAAGTCGGACCCAGCATCCTTGGTGCTGCGTCATGCTGTGCGCAGTGACAACATTGAGGACCCCACGGGCATTGTGGAGGCCATGTTGGCCCGTTGCGACCTGGCCGCCATTATGCAGCATTACGCCGTGCCTGCCTTTGCCAGCACCACCGAGTTTTTGCAACACATTTGCCGTCGCTTTGGCAAGTTGAAAAAGCATGGCGCCCCAGACATCTCTGCTGCTGCGCAGATTGTTATCAAGGACTTTAACGAAGGCAACGTCTCCTTCTACATGCTACCACCTGAGCAAGTTACCGAGCAGAGTCAAGCGACAACCAAGATTGTCGCGGAATGGAGCGCTGCCTTTGACTTGGCTGGCATTGAAGAGGACCAAGTCCAGGTGCTGCAGTCGATGGATGCTCAGCCAACTAAGAGCGGTGTTTTTGCGCTCCGTTCGGCACCCTTTGCCATGCCTCAGGATGACATTCCCGAGGATGATGAGGAAGAGGATGAGCTGGAAGACGAAGAGATGGGCGGTGTAGCAGAGGGACCGCGCTTCGGAACCCGCACGACTCGCAAGGTATGTCTGTGGCACTCGCAGGATGCATTTGCGGGCTGCTGCTTTTTTTTATTTTTTTTTATTTTTATTTTATTTTTTTTGAGCCTCTATCGGATGGGCTTCACTCACCGGCACGAACCTTTTGTTTGCTCACTCGTTTTTCAGGCGGCAGTTGCAGCCGATGCCGAGGCTATGGAGAGTGACGACGACGAGGACGTTGTTGATGATGAAGATGATGAAGAGGACGAGGACGGCGCTGGGTACGTTGCCAAGCATGCCTTTGGTCTTCCCTTTCTTTTCATGCATCGTCTCGACCGGCTCTCACCTCTCCGTTGCCCCTTTCCTCCCACTTCCATTCCTGCAGTGATGATGCGTTTGACTTTTCGACCGACTTTATGGCGTAAAGATGCGGCCCTTTGTCTCGTGTGCGTCTGTGTGCAAGTGTTTTTAAATCGGATGGATTTGCTGTCCTTTTGCCTCGTCAAATTCCTTTCGTCATGACAATGCCGACAGAATCCCCGGCACGTCTGGCTATGAGATGCGTGCGTCTAGAACGAGGCCTTCGTATTCGTCCTCGTCCAAATCCAAGTCTTCTAATGTTTGGTCATCTATTCAATCAAAGAAAAGAAGAATAGAGAGAGGGAGAGACAAAAAGGCCCAAACTCATGAGTGACAGCGTCCAGAGATGCCACATGATCAAGACCATTGAAATGTGTTTCGCTTGAACAGCTTGCCGAAGGGTTAAAAGCCTGTCAGCAACCTTTCACCAAGCTAGAATGAGCTCACCTTCGATTGGATCTTCCATGATGAGGCGAATCGAATCGGGTTCCAATTGACATGCTTCGGCAAAGTTGATGCGCAAACGACCCAGCGGTGTTGTCTGTCGATGCAAGAAAGGAGCCATCAACAATGGTGTCATGCGAACACACCGAAGCAACGAGCGTACAATCACCACGCCGAGGCCACGAACCGCCGTGATGCGAAAAGAATGGTTGTGACCTTTGGCTTGAACGCGCACAAGGTATAGCTTTTGGGAGGGGTCGGGGCGGGGGGTGGTCGAAGAGCCCGCAACTGCCCCGGGCTCAGTTCTTAAGCTGGCTGGAATTGTATCGTCAATGTCAATGACTGAAGCAGACACCATGGGGATGTGCCAGTCAAAGGGGTGGGTTTGAGTGATCGCCAATCAGCACGGCTGTTGCAGGCAAACCGGGATCAAGCATCCAAAAGGCACGGGTCGGTATCATACCAATGCGTCGGCGGGATAGGGTCAAACCAGCCTCGCGCGGCGTATAAAGGGGGTGAATTTTTCGATTTTCAAACTTCATGATGAGACCGCGCAGATCCATGTCCAGCCGATGCGCCAAGTCTGCAAGAGGAGCGCCATCGATGTGGGAGCAAGAAGTGCGCGATGTGAAGCAGCGGGCAGCGACGGACAGCATGAGGGAGGGAGCATGGGGCTGGGACCAGTCCTTACCTGCGAGGGTGCGCTTCAGAGGCTCATCCTGGAGAAGGGCGAGCAAAAGGGGGAAGCATAGTTTATGAATGGATGCTGTCGGCACTACGGTAAGGCGCGAGGCACGGGCGGCAAACGGGGGGCGGTGGCGAGAACGGACCGAGGGAACCTTGATAACATAGGACTGGTTGGTATCAGCACGAATGAATTGAATGTCTACCTCTGGGCCCAAGGCATCTATCGATACGGGGCGGTGCGATCGTGCAGCGGGCCGTGTGTGAGGGATGCCCTCTCTGTGGAGGAATGAGCCTGGCGCACCGCGTCATGTTGAGCGCACCAGTCTGTGTTTCGGGATCTTCCGTCTCAAGATCTACGACGGCGGGCGCCGCAGGGCGATAAAGACGGTGGTGCTGCAACTGCTGTCGCTGGGCGCGAAGATGTTGCCGTACCAAGGAAATGTGATATTGTTGCTGGTATGAGGCCGGCTCAAGCATTTCGTCGTCGTCATCCAATGTGAGGTCGGCAGGCTTGGTCGATGCTGTCGAGGGCTTATTGCTGCTCGCCGAGGCTGTCTGAGATGGGCCCTGAGTCTCGTGCGGCTTTGCATCTGACACCATGGTGGATGCTACCTCTTTGACCGCTTCAGCAGGAGCAGGGTCAGAAGCAGGACCAGATGCAGCAGGTGGCTCGGGCTTGGGCGGATCTTCTACATTAACGGTAAAGCCGCTCGGACGGCCAAAGTTGAGGTCGTCATCCTTTTTACTCGTGTGATAGAACAAGTCGTTAAAAGCGCGGCGTCGCCGCTTTGGAGCTGGCTGCCCCGTTTTTGTGTCCTTTGTGTCCTTTGAAGCCATGACTCACCGGCGGGCGCGCCTCGATCGCCCACCTCGCGGACCGGCGGAGAGCACTCCAGATCAAGAGCAGACGGGTAGAAGCAGGCGGAGGAGAAAATGGCAATGCTCACTCCTTTCGTACCCTAAGTGCTGACATTGATGATGTGGCTTGCAAGCCACGTCGAACGCGGCAGGCGAGAGGAAAGAGCATCAAAAGCTATAGAAGATGCAGATGAGAACTAGAAGGAAATGAGAGTTTATGTGGATAATATAAGACTTTGAGTAGAAACAACCCGTTCAAGGCTTGTCAAGGGGGCGTTTCTGACAGGGAGAGAGAGAGAGAGAGAGAAAGAGGAATTGGTCTGGGAAAGAGAAAGGAAGGAGACAGAGAAGAGAGAAACAAACAGTGAGGACAGAGAGACAGAGACAGAGACAGAGACAGAGACAGAGACAGAGACAGAGACAGAGACAGAGACAAGAGGCAGAGAGGTGTGTGTGTTCGGGGTGGGTGGGTGTCATTTGACGTGCATCTTGGCTCTGTTTTGTGCCGGCGCTTTTCGCGCTTGCTCGCTCGCTGAATTTCTGCTCTTGAGTTCTGGATGGGCTTTTCGGCTGGTGTTGGCCGTCGCGTGGGTGACTTGCGCTTGGTAGTCGGGCCGCAGCTGTTGTCGAGTGGGCCTTGGGTCCATCTCCCGTGCCGCCTGCCTTGGTCCACCAGGTGTCTTCGACCAGCGAACGCTCCTCGATTCGATTGGGTTGGTTCGAGCTCCTTGATGTCACCGACTTCCCCTCGTGTGCCTGCCTGACTCCTGGTTTTCTGCTGTGCGCGCGCCCTCCGACCCTATCTCTTTGCCCTGGCGTTCTTCTAGACCTCAGATCCGTGCGTGCAGACCACGCCGTAGAGCAGCGCGCCGCCTCTCGCCCATGAGCAGGGCGCCATGGCAGCTTCAGGGCGACGCCATCGGCCCACGATTGACCTTGGCCAGCGAACTTCTTCGCAAGATGTACGCTTCAAGACGGCTTCCCTCGACATAGACATACCCGGTGCGTTCCCCGAGCAGTCCTCGTTTTGCCCGAGCCACCGCTCTTTGCCGTGTTTGTATAATCGCCTCCGTGCGCTCGCCTGCTCACCGCTGCGCATCGTATCTTGGTAGAGGTGCGCCTTTGCACATTTCCGAGTCGGGCTCTGCCTGCTTTTGTGCCACGCTCGTGTCGAAGCTGTCACCCAGCGCATGAAGTTATCCACACACTCACCGTTTGATCATTGGCTCTATTTCTCATAGTATCCCGAGCCCCCGTCCCTTTTCACATCTATCGGCAGTCCCGTTCCAAGGTATCGGCCATTGAGCGGTTCTCCCCACTACAGGCGCATTTTTGTGTATTTTGCGTATCTTTTTCCCACGAGTGCGCACCAATATCTGATACCCCTTTCATCGCTTCTCCTGCTTCCGGGCCTGCTTGTCGTGACAGCCCGCTGCCCGAGCCCGATGTATTTATCACCCCTCAGCAGCCCGACGAACATGGCATTTATCGTACGTCCCAGGGTGCCCACATTGGTTGAGTTTTTATTTTTAATGATTGATTTGATTGACCAACACTCGCAAGGCTTGGGGTGGCCTGGCCAAGAAGCACTCGCTCCTCTCGTCTCCGTCCTCTTACATGATCATAACTTCATAACCATGACCTGGCATATTTGCTCTTCCCTAGCATTACACCGTGCTGCCCGCAACAATGATATTCAGCTTGTTCAGCAATGCCTTGATCAGAATGCCGACATATCTGTAACTGTCCCGTACGTCCCGAAAGCGTCACTCGTCTTCTGACGTGCAATTTCTCTCTCTGTCGCTTTTGACCTGGCTTGGGCTAGCAGCCACATCTAACCTGCTCGCTGTGTCCACCTCGACCAGGTCGGGCCACACAGCAGTCCACTTTGCTGCGGCTGCTGGGGCTGTCGACGTTTTGCGTCTCTTGCTCTCGATCGCACCACATCTCGCCAACGTGTCCTGCCGTTCTCACAAGTTTACCCCTCTTCACCTGGCCGCGGCGGTGCGTAGTCCTCCACTTTTTGGTACAGCTTAGGAACCAAATGTTTTGCGAGCTTCAGTTCTGAAACAACCTCACCTGTTTTGATTACTGCGCGTCAACTCAATACTCTAGAAAGGGCATGTCTCGGCCGCCCGGGTTCTTCTACAGACTTCAAAGGCCGCAGCCTTTCCCATATCAACAACTCGCTCCACACCCCGTACGTCCCTCATGTGTAGCCAGCAAGCCTCATTGTCCTTTTCATTGACAAGTTTGATGTTTGGCGTCTGCGCCACTCACCTTTGGCACCTGTCATTGGCTCGGGCCGCTCAGTTCACCTAGCAGCCGAGCATGGTCACTTGGCTGTTGTTAACCTCCTCCTGGATGCTGCGCATGCCAGCTTTGTGGATGAGGAAGATCAGGATGGCGGTGCGCTCTTTTACTTTGCCCTCTGAATCCTGGCTCAGGCAGATCTGCCTTTTCTAGCCACCGCACGGACTGACATCATTCGGGGATATTTTTTTTTTCTTTTGATCACGATAGAGACGGCGCTGCATCGTGCTGCGCTCTGCGGACACGCCGACGTTGTTGCCCGGCTTCTCGATGCAGGCGCACAACCAAATAAGCGCAGTCAGATTGGTTATCTCCCCTTACTGCAGGCAGCCAAAGGTGGCAACGCCGATTGCGTCCAGACCATCATCGAGCGGGCACCTGAGACCGTGACACAGAGCTTACCCCAGGGCGCAAGCGCCTGGTAAGTTCCACCCAGCCTGCTCTCGAGGGAGGATGTTGCCTTGCTCGACATTAGGTGATGCAATACTCACTCTGCGCCCATGAATCTCGGGATTGCCTCTGCAGGCATGTGGCTGCCGCTTGTGGGCACACATTAGTCCTTCAGTATCTGCTGGATCTATTGCGAGATCTCGATGAAGATGCGGCCGTTCTTGTGTGGAGTGACCAGTGCGTAGGCGCCTCAACTAAAGCTACCCCTCGATCGGATTGGTGCAGCACCGTCAGCTTACACTTGGCCCACGTGCCTGTTGGTTTATTGTATCGATGCAGACAATACAACACGCCTGTGCATGATGCTGCAGCCCATGGCCAGCTCAACTGCCTCAAGCTCATGTATCGCGAGTGCGTGGTTCTGTATCCGCCCGGCCCACGCTCGTTTTCAGCTGCCGCCTTTACGAGTGACAGCCTGACACTGCATCTGTACGCTGGCTCGTTCCTAGGGGTGTTCTTCTGGATACCGAGAATTTGAAAGATGAGACGCCCCTGGACATTGCCCGCGACTGTGAAAACATCGAGTGCGCTGTCTACTTGACCATGAAAACCTCTGCATGAGAAGGGGTTGCCATCAGCAATTCATTCCCATGACCGTCTCATTGGAACTCTTGGCTGGCTTGTTTCCACTTGGAACTTGGCATCGTTTCAATCACATTTTTGACCCGTTGTGGACAGAGTGTCCAAGTCGGCGGCCCGCCTGTCGTCCGCCGCCCTCTATCCCGCTTCCTTTCGAGTCCGGCTTGGCACCTTGGCCCGTTTGTTTTGACCATCATTCTTAGCTTCCTCCTTAGCTCTTTTCATCTTTATGACATCGTGCGTGGTTTGGTCTTTTGCGCGTGCAACATTGTGCAGCATGCACATCAAGCCATGCATGAATTCAAAATCTGCCGTATCTGGTACTGTTGGGCCTCTCCACCACCTGTTCTGGCTGCATGTGACGCAGTTATCAAGTGTCTGCCATCTCATCGACATGAGCTGGCTGACAAGTCCCATGCCTCTTTTCCTCGAGCTTGAAGTATGCCAACAAAAAAATTGCCAAGGCTCAAACTTCTCGTTCTTGCTCGAGCCAGCAGCCGAGACACTGAAGAAGAAGAAGAAGAAGAAGAAAAAAATTGACGTCTTCGCGTCAAGCGAAATTACACGCTCCCAGCGTCGTCGCCTCACTTTGGTGGAACGACTCCCCTCACCGACTAAAACACACCCACACCCACACGGCTATTGCAGTGAGAAACAAGCAGCGACCAACTTCCAAACCCTCCTGGAAGGATCTGGTAATTGCGCTTGACGCACCACAAGACTTTTTTTTGTCTGAGCACTCTCTGGTGTCTCCTTTTAGCTCTTGAGCAGTGGTTTTGAGTTTGTCAGATGATGGCAATGATTTCATTTGGAAGCAATCATAATCCTCGCAAGCACGCAAGTAAGCCCGTTGCAGTTGTTTACGTTCGGATGTGAGTTCGGCCAACTTCTCACAAGCAGAACCCAGCCAAGCGCACGTTGTTGTGTCGAGCTGCCACGGAAGCATTTTCTCATCTATTGTTGACATCGGCAGCTCGAGTTGGACAGCACGAACAAAGCAACCTTTCGCCCCTTGCAACAACTGAAAACTTCACACCCCTTCCGGGCACGATGGTATGATCATGTGTGATGTGTGTTACCGGATGTCTTTTTTCAATTTTTTAATTCTTCAATTTTTTTTTTTACTTTTTGTGCCGGTGATTCATCATCGCACAGGATCGCACTCGAGAACATCTCCACCATGCCTGCCGCAACGGTCGTGTTGAACTGGTCGAGAATCTATTGACGTGCGGCGCTGATGTCAATGCCAGGGACGACGTCAGTATTCCTCTGTCCCCTTTTCGCGCTGATAGTAGATCTGCAACACATCGCGATGATCCTGCTACCTGTGCGGAATGCCTCCCACAGGTTGGAGATACGCCACTGCACAAGGCGACATCGGCGGCCCGTGTGGCGGTGGCGGAGATGCTGGTCAAGAGGTTTGGCGCCGATGCCAATGCCGTGAACAAAGTCAGTATCTTCGTCTACCCCCCCCTTTCTTGACCCCAATGATAGTAGCCCCGCAAGACATAGTGATAATCCTGTTCCCTGCACGTGATGCCTAATGTATCCTCCCACAGGTTGGAGATACACCACTGCACAAGGCCGCCGATGCGGGCCACATGGCGGTGGCGGAGATGCTGGTCAAGCGGCTGGGC